AAAATTTTTCCGGAACTTACGTGATCAAACCAGGTTAGATCTGTATTGCAGTTTATTGCTAAGCCATGATATGAGACTCCATGGGATACGGCTATTCCCAAAGCAGCAAGCTTTCGGTTTCCATTAACCCAAACACCTACAGAAATAAACTCAGTCACTAAGTAACGTTGAACAGTTAGGAGAAAGGAAGTGAAGTAAGCTTTTTTAGATAACACCTAAAGAGACCAAATTTCAAAATGCACCTGTATGTTGAGTTCGTCCTACATTTGATATGTCGAAATCTTTACTAGCACAATCAATGACAACCTGAACCGACTCAGACTTCATTTAGTTCTGTTGTTAACCAAAATCAGCTCCAAACTTACTTGTTCTAGCATTTCGACATACTTCTTCACCCCTAGTGGACGCGGAGCTATATGTTTGAGGTTAAAAATAGGATAAATTACGAGTTGTCCTGGTCCATGAAAAGTTATCAAGCCGCCCCGCGAGGTTCTGAAAGAAATAGTAGAAGGCTGAAGCAACTCTTCGCAAATTTCTGGTAAACCAAGCATACCTACAAAAATCAGCGCCAAGAGCTTTTAACTTAAGTTCCTCTTCTTCCGTATATAACTTCTCACGAATACCTACAGTATAGACAGGAGGGTGTTCTACAGCTAATAAGAAGTTCCTGGAAAATGTAACGAACAGCAAAAAATAACAAATTTTGAAACAAAGCATCTGAAGCTAAAATAAATACTTACAAAACATCGTTTTGAGCCTTTGCTTTCTTCACGGCATCAACATACTTTTTCTGTTCTTCTAGTCCTTTAGTATATGATAATCTACCAAGATTTACAACTTTGAAATACCGACAAAGTGAAGAGGATAATCGCATAGCTTGCATAAAACAATTCCACAACTATTTCCGATGCGGAAGAGGAGCAGCTACACTTCGAAGGCGCTCTTCCCTGGTTCTGAACCATGAGAACATCATTAAAATAGCAAATAAATTTTGGTAAAGGGTTGATAATGAGTAAAGATTAAGCAAACTCAAAGCATGAATGCATTTTTATTGTACTATTTTCAAAAACAAAAATCGCAGAACATACCTCGTAAACCACTCGTGTTTGTTTGTATAAAAAATATCTTTCAGCTGAGAGTGATTAGGACCGCTCTTCCAGCGATTCGCTCGTTTCACAGCGAAAGACAATGGCGTCTGAACGGATGTCAGATTGAATGTTTAACCTTATGATGTTTTATCGCTAGACTTACTATTCAATCATGATTTCGAGTGGTAGATGCTTTTTTAAACTACATTTCCTACCAAGATTCATGCGCGCCGATTCGGCTCCCTACAACTCGAGTTACATTTTGCAATCTAATTTCTTAGTATGTGGCAATCTTTTCCCACTTTGTTTTCGAAGCCGAGGAACAACATATCCCTGCCAGCTGGATATAAACCCTATTTTTCGAGCCTCTAGGAAGTGTCTCAGTTGTCCTTTTTCAATATACCGAAAATTACTATTGTACACTTATCTCGAAACAAATAAAGAACTTCATCTAACTATTACTCCACAAAGTTGTATGATGTGTGCAACTGTGAATTGAAAAGAATTGCGACCACATCCACGACCGAAGTCAATGATATCCTCCACGAGTACGTTCATGAAATCAAATTATTGCAAAAGATATAGATGAATCCTGGAGATGAATCCTGGGAGGGAGGGGCGAAAGTACATACTTCGGAAAAAGGAAAAGGATGAATCTACTCTGCGTAGCCGCAGTCTACACAAGGTGCAAGACGCCGTCCAACGGAGAAAATGGGTTTGCATAGAATATATAAAAGGAAATTTATTCTCGAAGACAACATTGAAAACCAGATGATTGTCACCACTACGACTAGCTATACTGAAAGCCAATATGTAGATATGAAATCTACCAAATTTCTTCCATATCTAAGACCGCGCGACGTAATGCAACATAAACAAAGGTTAGCAAGCAAGAAAAGTAGTTTGAAAGCACTAGAATATTGAATCAGTGGTCAGATAGAAAAACCATTCAGACCTTCCACCTAGCACAAAACATCTATCAACTTACCTCCTCTTCTGTGTCTTTCTTCAGACTCACTGGTCTCGAGTGCTCGTATGGGAAAGCTGGAGCAGGATGCCAAGCTGCTACAGCGCCGTTTCGACACACAACGATCCTTTCAAAGAAAAGAGTATGATAAAGAATATGGAAAAGAATTCAAAAAGAATGAAAGTCCTCTAAAAGCACCCGAATCTCGGCACTACCAATTCAACTTAACCCTAAAATTGACTTAACTAATAGAACGAAGATTCAGATGAAAACGTTCTGAAAAAAAAGGAAAGACAAGTATTTTTATAGCTCTTAACAATTGAAACTCACTTGTTCAAATTCTCTCTTGCAGCAGAAGAAAACAGATATCTTTTCCAACTAATTAAACAGTTTTTGAGCATCCTCCAAACTGAGGAT